CGCGCGCATAGCTGCACGTAGAGCTTGTTTACTTTTCATCGCGGCTGCGCCGTAATGCAGCGGTGGATCCAATTACAGACAGGCCATCGTTGGCTCCGATTAATTACAGAGCCGCAGCTGCTCATCTCGCCGCGCTGCGCCGCCGCTTCGCTGTATTCGTAATATTGTGTTTCGCGCTTCTCTAAATTTAGACTGCGACTTTCCGCGACGCCGCGCCATTTGCAACGCGCCCGGCTCGTGTGTATCTTCCCCTCGAATCTCATTCTACGGACGTTTCCAATTTGCGATCGACTGGAAATCGTGAAATTTATCCAGGCTCGCGAAAGAAACGCGGCGCAGCTTGCTGGAAGCTGCTCCCGTCCTTTTTTTTTCCAATTTCCATCGAGAGAAATTCGGGGGCCAGAATTAATTAATCTATTTGTTGATTTAAAATCGACGCCCGTGATTCGAGAGAGACGGTCATAGCGGAGAGTCCAAAGACAGTTGAAGAAAGAGAGGGAAGGGGAGAGAAGACGAAACGCGGTTTGGCAAAACACACCCTCTTGTTATCAGCGTATGCCGTTGAAGGTGGCGGAACGGCGTCGGCAAGAACCACTCGATATATCGACCGGCCGCTTCGGCCAGTCTAGCAAGTAAGCAGGTTTGCATGCGTCGCATGCACGTTCTGGCATTCGCCGGCAACAATGTGCATCCGCAAATTTGCACGGACATTAAGAACGCTGCGCCTTCCTGGCTGACGGGAAAAGATGGGGATCGGTTAATTAGGTGGACCGACATTGTGGTGCTCATTGTCATCGTCGTCGTAGAATAATAACCGGGGATAATTAATTTGATGCGTTATGAGCTCTCTTTACCGCTTTTAATGACAGAGGTGGCTGTATCATCGCAGAACTGCCCGGCCATCTTGGCCTCGCGCGAACGTCGCCCCCTAATTTCCGATATCGCACGTCGGGTTATCAGATGGCAGTATTATTACCTTCATATTAAAGATAGGAAGCGTAGGATGTTTTTCTAATATGAAAATAGCCGCGTGAATCGAAATTTTGACGCTACTCTGACGCTATTAAGGATAGTTTGCGCCTAGTTACGGCCTATAGACTAATTAAAAGCTATACGGAAAAAAAATTAGTATCAATTCGAGACTTTGTATCTTCATATGGAAGCAAAAATGTATAATCTTGTGTAAAGATAAAATTTGCATACGTGAAGAAATTCTATACAGTTCTACGAAAAACATATCATATTCTTTTTATTTAAGAAGAATCCTCATGAATTCAAAGGAAAAAATATTGAATAGAAAGAACGATATCTTCAAGCTAAGAATTGTATCAGTTTGAACAGACATCGCTCCTTCTAACCAATATTTGTTCATCTAATTCGTGAAAATTATTCTCGTACAACAAGAATATGATACTTTCGGTAAGACTACATAGAATTTCTTCATATAAGCAAGTTTCATCTTCAAGATCATACATTCTTGCTTATATATGAGAATATGAGTCTTTAACACGTTCATTGCCAAGCTGAGAATTGGAATTTCGTATTTAAAAAATTTTTTTATTTAGTTTTTATTGTGCTCAAAATAAGTTAATATATTATTTATATGCTTTTATTATTATGTACATAGGATTTATGTACTCTAAATATCTATTACGCGATAATGCGTGATTGGCCGAGAACTCGCATCACGCGATATCGCGTGATTGGCAATGAACGTGTTAATCGAGCCTAATTTATTTCCGTTTATATTGACGATACACGTGTCATCTTGCCTCTTGAATTCTACAGATTTCATTTCAACGCCGTTTTGAAGAATCTATTTCGACGTTGAAACCGCGAAGACAGAAATTTAAGAGAGCATCGGTGCCAAAGTGGAAGCAAATTACATCGTCAAAATTAAATCGAACCTATTTCTCTATTCCAACTTCTACTCTGCTATAGAATCAAAGGTTCGACTCGGTTATTCAGGGCGTTTCAATCTTCAGAAATCGTCCCGGTCGCTGAACATCTGTTCTGTCACGTGAACCCTGTAGAACACACTTTACGGCCGGACCTCCCAGCCTAACGCGAAAAAGAAAAACGCACGAGCCTGAAATAAAGCGGCTATTATCGGCAATGAAAAGTTCACGGCGATATCGCGAATCATTACTCGCTCGCGAGTTCCACACGCGAGACACTCCGCTCGGATTCGTGCGCTCCGTCGCAATTTGCGTCGCGGGTACCGTTCCCCGAGTCGTCGTTTCGCGTTCTCCTCTTGTCGATATGCGCGATAACGCGAACGGACGTCGCTCGTCGTCTAGCCGGGATGCACGCGACGCGATCTCGTCGGCGCGTCACGAGCGGCCACGCAGTACGGCGAAATTAAGGTCGCTAATGAAGAACTAATTACGCGCGGGTAAGTCGGTGCTTTATCGCGCGCAAGACGAGAGTCGCCGATGGCGATTCGAGGCCGAGAGAGAGACGACGAGTTCGCCTATAAGGACGAGAGGAAGAACACCCATAACACACCCCGTGCAAGTGGGCCTCGCACTTAATAAAGACGTCCGCCGCAATTAGGTGGTCTTTACGATCGACATAAAACCCGATCATTCCGAGCACGCACGAATCAGGTTCTTCCTCGCGGCGAGAGAACGACGTGGTCGTCGTCTGTACTCGCGTTTCCGGACGAGCGACGTGTCGCGCGCGGATGAAGAAGCGGAAATCGCTCGATCTCTCCGAGCGTGAATCACACGGTGGAGTTTTTAGAGACGTTTATGGTGGTAGATTACGGCGACAATTGACTGCTTGGCAGCATCGTGCGATTCGTAGCTCTCTTCCTTTGAAACATTCGTGCATCGCGACCGCCGCTTCGGGGAATCGTCGACAGTCACGAGCGATACTTCCGATCGGAAGTGTTCGATGTTACCATGCTTAGAGAACAGCATCGGATAGAATCCGCGCACGGACGTTATCGCCAACATTACACCGGTTACTTGTGGTAATCACACTTACTGCAAGAGTCTTTATTTTCCTACCGTAATTACTTCGCTAGGTGCGTAATTACAGACACAAATACCGAGCGCTTTCTTTTAAGCAATTAATAACGCATTACCATTTCGCAAGCGTCACTTCCGGTAACTCAACGACTAACGCGCCACGTTCCGCTTTGCTTTTCCTTTTCCAGCGAGGATGTCGAGCAGCGGCGTGTCGAGCGGCCCAGTCAGTCAAGTCTGCCGGCCGCACTTTCACAGCTCGGTGCTCCACCCGTGGCTGTCCGGCGGCACCGCGGACACCTCGAAGACACCCTGGGGATTCCCGGCGACCACGACGACCGCGGGTGGCGGCGTGAGCGACGAGAAGCCGCAGAGTCCGCTGGGATCGTCGTTGCCGGCGACCACCGGCAGCCTGTCGAGTCACGGCGGCGCGGGACACCACCTCTTCTCCTTTCCGCCGACACCGCCCAAGGACGCCACGCCGGACAGTATAACCGCCAGCACGACCTCCAGCACGAACAACAACAACAACAACAACTCGACGAGCGCGAACAACAACAACAACAGCGGCAACCCGCTGTCCGGCCTCGGGGGCGGCACCACCAGCGAGTACCAAGCGGCGGTGGCGCACGTGGCGGCGATGGGCGCCTTCATGCATCACCAGGACGCCCTGGGCGCGTCCGGCGCCGGCTCATGCGACATCAAGCCGACGGTGATGCTCGGCCACCACCATGGAGCGCCCTCGCCGCCGCATCAGCAGCACAACGGTACCAACAACGGCAGCAACGGGCCCGCCGGCACGAACGGCTCGTCCGGCCAGGTGAAGCAGCGAGAAGGTAATAACCAGTCCGGCAATGTCACGGCCGGCAGCCAACAGGCGAGCGCCACGCAACAGCAGCAGCAACAGCAGCAGCAGGACGCGTATCAGAGCAACAACGGCGTGCCTGCCGGCGGCGGCGGTGGTAGCGGCAGCGGCGGCAGCGGCGGCGGCGGCGCGGTCTCACCCTGCAGAGAGAGTTACGCGGCCGTGGCCGCGGCCGCGGCCGCCGCCGCGGCGGCCTCCAACAGCCACCATGCCACTTCCGGCTCGCAGTACGACCCCGCCGCGTCCGCTTACAACATGTACCAGCACCTGCAGTATCCCAACCCCACCCACCACCACCACCATCATCATCATCACGGCGCGTCGTCGTCGTCGTCGTCCGCCGCCGCCGCCGCCGCCGTCGCGTCGTCCCACAATCCGCACAACGGCAGTGCCGTCGCCGGTATTTTCGGTCACCACGCCGCCGGTGCCGCCGGTAACGCGACCGGCGTAACCGGCGTCGGAGGCGCCGACACGAAGCTGTTAGTCGGTCACGCGGCCGCGCACGGGAACACGCCGGGCTCGCCGTCCGCGCAGCAGCAGCAGCAGCAAAAGCCGAGGAACAAGTCGAGGACGTCCGCCGGTAAGCGGCACGCCTGCTGTCACGGTTCTTTCTGTTCATCATCATCTTCTTCTTCTCCTCCTTCTTCTTCTAATTCTGTCTCTATTTCTTTCTCATTTTCGTTTCTTTCCTGCGGGTTCATCTGGTGTATTGAGTTTCGTTGGTTTCTCAACTGCGCCTCCAGGTGCCGAGTAATGTTTCCTTTCTTTTTTTTCTTCTCGTTTGGGCGACACGTTGGTGTGTCTCTGTTCTCTTGTTTGCTTCCGTTCCCTGTTTTACTTTGGTTTATTCATGCGTAATGGTTTGCTTCTGGCATCCTTAGTTCCGCTTCTTAGCACCGGCGTCGATTATCGGCATCAAAAGATATCGAACGCGTCTTGTTCCGTCTCACTCTCGAGCATCGTGTCGCGAGATTCGATATATGTATATTGTGTCAGACTGGTATGTAAATTACGAACGTAATCGACGCCAGTACACGTTTCAGTTCCTGATTTTCTAACTTTACTTCTCCCGTGTTGTGTTTGATTGAATTTCTCATCGGTTTTGTGGTTCGATTTAATTTTAGAGGCTCCTTAAGTCTCTCGGCGATCACTTTCGTTTCGCCTGCGTCCTCGTTCGTTCATTGTCCGCTCGGCATATCCGCTCTCCCTCTAACAACTGGAATACCGGCTGGACATTGCAGACGGACAATGGGACGCGGGTGGGGCGAAAATCACCGGCAATTTCGGTTATCTCATTCTGTCTTCTTTCCTGAATCTCTTCCCTTTATTTTAACCGTGAGCTTTCGGTGGCGGTCGTCTTACGCTTACAGTTCGTTCAGAACACCGTTTTTTTCCACCCGTTTCTCTCGTTTTTTGAACGAGCTGTGTCACAATAGAGAGAGGGAGGCACTGAACTCTGTGGTTTTTTGTATTTTGCCTCACTGATGTGTTTTTTGCGTGGCACCCACGAGAGAGCGAGCGTCAAGCACCACACCCGATTTACCGAGATGTATGACACACGATATATACGATACATATATATATCTACACATTTATATACAATCCTGTACACACACACATATATGTCACAATCTGTACGTAGTCAATGGATGAAAGGTTGCAACAGTTTTTTTGTACCAACGAATTTCCGCTACATATCCGTTATCCAACGGAAAACTTGTTCTCTAAATCATAATCATATATAAAATTAATATCGTAATTAATGTAATAATAACGATCGTAGAAATAATTCTCGGGGGGTAATTTTTCCTGTTGGATACCTCCGATACGTGCCAAAGTTCGTCGAAGTAAAAGTGTCGCGACCTCACTCCCATCGATGATTCTCCAAACATTCCACACACACACCACACACACGTACACACGCGCCAAACACGAAAGAGCACAGGTTTTTTTTCGATGTGGTGTGGCTATCGCTGCGTTTTTGTTTTTGTCACGGCAAAGCTCCCTCTCAAAGAGTCCACGGACCATTTTTCGGCGTGCTCCCGCCGACACGTTAATTTTTTTTTTCTTCTCACATCGCGCGAGCAGATCGCGGTTTGTCGCGAAAAGTCGCCGTGCGATCGTCGCTCACTGCGAATCGAGGATCGCAGTTGCACGGCGGACATATACGAGTCACCTCGAGCGATCGTCGAACTTTGGGCAAATTATAGCGCGCGCTCGCTCGCTCTGCGATAACACGCTCGCACAGCGTTGCCGTCGTCGTCGGAGCAGACGAAGAGGCCGACGGAGAAGAAGGAGGTCGCGACGGGGGGAAACGAGAAACGGTTGAAAAATGCCGGATACGCTGATTGCGGTAATAATAGCCGGTGGCTCTCCGGCGGCGGTGGCGGCAACGGCGGCGTGGTAAAAATCCCAATTCCGGGAACAATGGCCCCCGGCTTCGCGCCATGGAAGCCCGCTAATTGAATCGACTTACGACACACATCAGCGACGGCGCGCTCGCTCGCTCTCGATGACGAAGGAGAGAAGCCACGGACGGACGGCACCCGCGGCTTAGCGACGCCTACCGATCGGCCGCGAGGAAAATCGCCCGTGAGAAGGCCGCGAAAAATGGCTTCCGCGATCTTATTGTAGGCAGGTGCGCGTCGAGATCGCCGGCTCGATTGGGCAACGCGCTTCTCGCGAGAAGCGGACGGGATTGGCAAATATCCTTCGTGCGTGCCGCGGTGAAAAGGAGTCGTGACGAAACGCGAAAAACTCGAAGGATATCGGAGGATCTTCTCTCGGGATTCCCTGGCTCTCCGACGAGCGAGACCGCGATCGTGTTCGGCTGGAGGCGATTGATACGGCAACGTCAGGTGGGAGAAAGGACGGTTAACGATGAACAACGCATCGGCCGTAAATCCTTGCGGATATCCGAGTCCCGAGTTGGTATTCTGAGGTTACGTTCGCTCTCTTCGGGATAGCTCGCGTCTACTTAAATGACCGGTGAAAGATTCGGACGATACCACACTTGGTGCACAATTCTTTCCCGAACTTTTGGCTTCTACAGACTTCGTTTCGATGCTACCTCGAACAGTCCATCTTGACGCTGAAACAATGAGAACGGAAATTTAAGACATCACCGAGGTCAATGTGGATGTTGATAAATTATATCAGAATGTAAATTGAATCCATTTAATTGTCTTGGCTCCCTATTGTGTGTGGAAAGGCAAAGGTTCAGCATAGGGCCGAAATCTCGACTCGGGGTGTCGGTTGTTAATCGGTCGACGGTCCTCGTCGCGAGGGAAACGAGGGAGCGGGAACTTCGCGGGAAATCCCGTTAGCTTCGAACGGTGGCGTCGGAGATCACGGAGGAACGGCGCGCAATTAACGCGGGAAGAAAGAAGGAATAATGGGGGGGGGGGGGNGGGGGGGTAGTCGTGGGCCAACGCGAATTTCGTGACGGAACGGCGCTCTTGCCTCGTGCTGAATTGTAACTCGTCCCGTTGTCTCGACAGAAGTGGCACGGGACAGAGAAGCGGCTTCCTTCCTCCTCTCCGTCCGATCTTCTTCGCGCTCCAACGACCACCGGCCCGGCTCGGCCCTAAATACCTCCTCGCCCGTTGTTTCCGCGATGAACAATAGGTACACCTCCCCGGGCCGCGATGAACGTCGTAAAACACTTGGCGAAGGTGGATGGACGGCGTGACTCGCGGGGCTTCATTTTTCTTATCACCGTGAAAGATACCCGGCGACATATTGCGGAAAAGTCAATCTTCTCAGGGATACTGACGCATACGTGACACGTTTCATTTTCCGTTCTTTATTCAAACATGTAACATACGACGAACTGTGAGTGAACATTTATCAGAAAATCCCACGAGAAAAGGAGAAAAGTCTCGTTACTCGACAAATGTCATTTATGTTACGTGAAAATGACAGAAATTTTCTTCTTACTGCGACAAATTCGTCCCTGAGGAGAGCTAAGACAGAAGTTTTACGTGAGTTTACTGTTATTTTGCGTAGAAAAGAGTCCTCGTCTTTCTCTCTTGATTCGTCCAGCTCTCGTCACGCTTCGTATCGAGTCGCAAGGATTACGAAAATCGAGAATGTCTCAAAGTCGAATTCGCCGTACACGCGCCGTTACCGAAACCGTACGTTACCGTGTTATGAAAGCGAGGATAATCCGGGGAAAGGCTCGTCGAGCAGAAGCGGAAGCGCGGGTGTCTAACGAGCTCCCGCCCCCGCGTGGATGCACGGCGGTTAAGGTCGGAGGTGACGCCGAAAATGGGGGCGATATCGGCCGCCGTTGGGGTGAGACCAGCCATTTTCGCGTCACCTCGCGACATGAGGACTATATTTCGAGCGGCGTAAACGAGCGTCACCTCGACGTTTCGTGGCTGATATCCATCGGCCACCACCGTCGCCGCCCGTCTGTCAGGAACTGTCCGCCCATCGCGGACGGATCGATAGTCGGAGGGCATCGATACACAAGGAAATGCGCGCGGGGAGGAAATTATTATCGGCGATGCACGTTCCGCGAAGCGACGGGCGGCGAACGGCGGCGAGATCGATCGCTCGTGCAGACGCGGATTGAGGGAGAGGGAGAATTAGAGAAGGAGAGAAATTCCATCGACCCTGCATCGTTCGAGAAACGAGAGCGTGAATCCGCCACTGAAAAAAATTAGCATGGTCGTATCTGACAGTGAGCGGTCAAACGGCGTTTTCGCCGGAGAAATGCAACATTCCGTAGTTCTCACGAGACAAATTCGATTCTCACAACCAGATTCTGTCGCTAACCGAGCTCATTTTTGCGATCCTCGGTCGAAATTTTGGCCCCACATCGAACCTTTAGTTCTGCAACGTAATAGGAGCTAAGATAGCAGAGTAGGTTCAATTTCATTACCAACAGAATTTATTGCTACTTCGACTTTGACGATGCCCGAAATTTCTCTTTTTCGCGGTTTTAATAATCAAAATAAGGTGTCCGAGGCAGCATTAAAATTAAATGTGTAGAATTAAGAGGAAAGTGAGCAAATGTTGCTGTCAAAACAGATTTTTATCAGTCCATAAGCCGTCCGAGTGGTCGCAAACTGTCAACTTATAAACATCAAGGCAGCATGAAGTTTTCGACTCGGTATCGCGGCGAGAGATCGAGGAGAGATCGTTTACGGTCGTGTTCGCCTACGCGAATAACGCGAGGATGTTAATTGGTAACTAATAAAGTCGGGGCCTCGGGATTTAATCGGCGACCAGCAACGGGACGTTATCGAAATCGGATCGCGCTCGGCTCTCTCTGAAGAGAGAGAGAGAGAAAGAGAGGGGGCGGTCAAGATTCGTCGCGTTTAACGGCGCCCCGTTATTGTCGGGCGCGAGGGATCGAGATTCGACGGGCGGTCGTCGACGTGGCCGCTCGTTATCACCCCCGAATCTGCCGGACGTTAAGACCCAAATCGAATTGAAGCACCGCGACTCGAGTGAGCGGGCGGTTGAGTGGGTGGGTCCTTCCAATTAGTTCCGGGATCGATCCGGGCACCGAAACGGCAATTAGGTGTGCGTTAAACCCCGGTCGAATCCTGTTAGCGTCCGTCACGGCCGGGATCTAGTTCGCTCTCGGTAGCGTCTCGGGCGCGTGTGCGATGACGCTCGCGAGGAGCCGAAGGGAAAAGACGGACGGGTTCGATTGCTCCGTTATGGATTCATCCGCGCAAACCGGTGGACTCGCAAACGAGCCGCTCGCGTGTCGACAATTACGCGCGACCTACGTCACGTGCGCCAAAATTACTCCGCAGCCGACGTCGAATTTCATGTTAAATCGAGGTCGAGTCATTAATCAGCGCGGATTCGACGGATTCAATCGATTGCGGGCCTCGTCGTCGCCCGATATCTCTTTCGAACTTGAATGTTATGTTCCAAACGTTACATTCTGGTAAAAATTCCAATATATATTTATATATATTGGAATTTTTAACAGAATATATATATATATATATGTAGTCTGTGGGAAGAAAGGTTGCAGCAGTCTTTTTTTTTTCAACGAGTTTCGCAATACGTCAGTATTCAATGGAAGAATTTGTTCTCTAGTAATTCGTAGAAAATAATTTCCCTGTTGGAATCTTCCTCTCTCTGAAGTTTGTCGAAATAAGGATTCCCGCGATCCTTCTCCCACCGACTGTGTATCAGACAGGGTCTTATTTCAATATTGAAGCAGTTATACGTCGAAACGCGTGTATGTTTCGATGGTCGGTCGAGGGGCTCGCCAACGCCGCACGCTAATCGTGGATAATGAGCGGAGTGGCTTTTACGAGCATCGTTCTAGCAACGACGTACAGCCACTCTGGCGCGGTTTACGTCCGGTCGAAATCACGTCTCGATCTGGTAGAACCGCGTAAACGCGCGATCGATTATTCGGTCTCTCTCGTGCGCCAACGAGCGGACCCGACGACGCAGCTTAATAGGAATCCTTTTCAGTAGTAGCGACCGATAAGAGCTCGGTCGTAGCCCGGCGAGGACGCAGCTCGGAGGACGATTCGAGAGACGCGGATTTCGGGAGAAGTGATCCTTCCTTCCTCTCTCCCTCGAGTCCCCGACCTTCACTTCGCTCCTTTCCGTTCCACCCCCGTGGCGCGTTGCAAGGGTCCAAATTTATTTCTCATCGGCGTCGATCTCGCGAAGAGGCGTCTACCCACGACCCGAGTCGAAATTTTGGCTTAATGAGGAGTTAAGATAACGAAATAATAATAATAATATTTATTTATTTACGGGAAGGCTCGCTTTGATTGCAAACAATAGGGCTATAATAATGTGAATTAATTAATTCGAACTAAAAATGACGATGAGAGAGTGTTTAAAGCTTGAAGTAGCAGGTTCAATTCCAGTTCTAATAATACAATTTACTTTGACCTCGGTGATGTCACAAACATTCATTCTTGACGTTTCAGCGTCAAAATCGGTTGCTCGAGGTAGTTACAAAAGCTGCGAAATTAAAAATTCAAGAGGGACGTTAACAAGTGTCGGGATCGTCAAAGTAGGTTTTTATTAGTCCTTAGGCCATCTGAGTAGGCTTAAATTATTCTGAAGAGCGTGAAAGTGACGTAAGAAAAATGTCGACTCGGGGTCCTCGTCGCGTTCGTCGCGGAAGTTGTTGATGCGAGCGTCGCACCTTCTGCCGACGAGTGGGAAATAAATTTGGACAGCTGCGTGTGCGCGACGTCGTCGTGTCGCCTGGTCGTAGCGGCCGGGCGGAAGAAACGAATCGCGAAACGTCCCCCCCCCCCCCCCNTTAACGTCCACTTGTGTCTCTCTCTCCCGCAGTGTCCTTGGGACTAACCGACCGCACTAACGTAAGTTCGATCCGTGAATCCTATACAAAACGTCCATGGTCTTAAAGAGACTCTGCTTTTGCTCTGGTAATCGCTTGATATGGTATGTCTGCAACTGCATGCGAGTTCTCTCTCACGAGTCACCTGACTGTTCGCAAAGTCTTGCCATAAGACGACGCGCGTTGGTCCGCCGAAGACGACCGTGTCTCGAAATTGCCGTCGTTTCCGATCGGACGGTCGATTCTTCCGATAGAATTCGTTTCGTCGTCTTCGAACGACGACGCACTCTTCATGCTATCGGCGTTCAGAATGAATTTCTAGAACGGAAGACCGTCACGGAGAGTGCGAAGAGTATTCGTCGGGACGTTGAGAATCCCCGGTTATAATCCGACGGGGAGTCGCGAGTGGAAGAATCGACGGCGGGATCGCCGTGTCGCTCTTCGGCCGATCAACGTGCCCTCGAGTTCGCGCGTGAAACACCGGGATATCGAGCCGTGGAGGAAGGAGAGGACTCTCGTGTATCCACGACAGATCTCTGTCTCGCGTTTCACGCGTGAACGCGGATGGTAGTAGCGATACACACGGTAGTCGAGCGCGTGCCGTCGGGCACGACGTTCCCTTCCGAACTAACACGACTTTCCTTCCGTCGGGATGGCAATCCCGGTAGAGGGTCGCGAGTGCGTCAACTGCGGCGCCACCTCGACACCCCTCTGGAGACGGGACGGCACCGGGCACTACCTCTGCAACGCCTGCGGCCTTTATTACAAGATGAACGGCCAGAACCGACCACTCATCAAGCCGAAACGACGCCTTGTAAGTACCTAAGCTTCCTCATTACCGCCGACTCGGCCGAGCGAAAGGCGCGCGATCGTTTCTCGCGAGGGACCGAGGTTAGCTGACTCGAATTCGCGGGGACATAATGATAAGGTCGAGCGACCTCGAGCGAGAGTGATGAGCTTTCGAGGGCTCGCGAGAACGATCGTTCGCTTTGCTCGTACGCGAATCCGTCGTCGAGATCGAACGCGCGCGATGCTGCGGAAAAATGACGAGGAAAAAGTCACGCGTTTAGCTTTGCGCGTCTCGTTCAGCGAACACGGAACAGCCGATAACGAGAACACACACACACACACACACACACACACACAGATACACGCTCGTCGAGAGGGAGAGCGAATTTTATATAATGACCGATATAGCTGTCTCGAAGAAAAAATAATCGCACGTCCGTCAGATTGCCTTGTCCGTAAAAGTGCGTCCTTGATCGCTTCCCTTGCGCGAGGAGAGCGCGAGGCGCACATACTTAATTAGTACGTACGCGCGACGAGAACGATACGGGAGCAACGCGCGCGATTTCTCGCGGTAGACGTGTGCGGTAATCAGAATGCAAGATAAAACAAGGTCAAGTTAGTTTCCTGTACCAACTGATTAATACACGGAGAGCTGTGCCGCGCGCGCTCGTCGAACGATTTTCACGCGGGGAGGACATCCTCCCTTACCGGATAACCGGTGTCGGAGAATTCATCTCGGCCAGGGTGAACTTTAGGCACGTTGAGGACGGAGAGACGGGAGAGCTCGATCTAATCGACCTGAATTTCTTCCGAGAACACGGTATTTTGCGCGGAGCTTTTGCGAGTTTCTGCACGCGCGACGAGAAAGAGAAACTGACTCGCCACGTGGCGTGTGTGATCTCTGCGTGGAGAAAAAAGTGGTAGATTCAAGTAAATAATTATTCCGATACTCCTTAGCAAATTTTCACCCGGGTTAAGCATTGTCTACCTGATCCAAGCAAGATATTTTCCAAGTAAAATATTTACTTAATCCAAGTAAAAATTTGCTGAAGGGTGTTGGAGTAATTATTTACTTGAGTCTAGTACTTTATTTTCTATGTGCAAACACCCGAACCGAAATTTCAACCCTCTATGTTAAACCTTTAATTCTACAGTACAACGGGAACTTAGCAAAATATAGATTCAATTCTAACGATATAATTTACTTTTACTTTGATTATGATGTCTCGAATTTCCGTTGCCGTTGTTTTCAGCGTGAAAATAAATTGCTTCGAATACTCATATGAATTGAATAATCGAGATATATCGAGAGCATTTATAGCATTAGAAATCGGTAAAATTGAAGGTTCAAGAGGAAAGTTAACAATTGTAATATCATCAAAATAGAGTTTTAGTGGTAGTCTTATCGGGCCATCTAAATGGGGAACTATTTTTGAGAGCATCAACAAAGTAATATCAGAATATCGACTCGGGAAGTCGGCTCTTGTGTTTATAAAGAAAGGAAGAAAGAAGATCGGATTCCGATCGCGTTTCCGCCAAGGCGATATTTCCTCCTGTCTAACGCGCGTCGTCGTGCTCGTCATCATCGCGGGCGTTTGCGAGCTCGGAGCGTATCGGGACGCCGCTCGATCGATATCAGGGACGAACGGTAGTGTGGCCGCCGGAGGTTTCGTGCGATCGGCTCGTAGAATTCGTGTGAACTCGATCTATTTTTGGCGACTCGGCTTGGCACCTATGTAGACGGAGCAGCCTCGTCCGAAGTACCGACGCGGAAACTCGATACCGCCGGCCCTTCCTTCACTTCCTCCTCCTCCTCTCTCTCTCCTCCTCTTCCATCATTCGGACTCTTCCCGGTGCTGCGATTCGATCTGTCTAAACACTCGCGAGTTATTCCCCGGAATCGATCACGAAAGGAAGCCGAAACGTCCGCTTTCGCGCGGTGTACACCTTCCTCGTCTGTGATTCGTCTCTCTAAAAATCACGGCGACCGAGCTTTCTTCTTCTTACCTTCTTCCCTTTTCTTTCGTGTGAAAGCATTCGCGAAAGAGTCGCCGGTGGATCCCGTCGAGATCCTCTCGTGACGGTTTTCCTCGAAAGGTTTATCTAGAAGCGATCTTGATATCGTTTCCCAAAGAAACGCATAGTACCTTGAAATTGTACCGTCATATTTCGCCGAGCCAAATTTCAATGTTCGAATTTCTCTTCTAAGCAGTTTCAACCATTTTTAAGGATCAACATCTCGTGATTTTTATATTTCCTTAGAGAGATCTCCCGGATAGAACCGAGGAAGAATTTCTTACGGAATAAATTAATCCTTTAATTTAATTAACCACCACGATAGCGTAACATAGGTTGAAATATACGGTCCGCGGTAGAGAGAGAAAGAGAGAGAGAGAGATTTTCACGGCAAATCGTACGTCCTCCACCGTCGAGTGCCGCTGACCGCGACTTTCACGAGCCGGCCAACCCTCGCGCGCGAGAGAGTCCGTTTCTCGGACTCGGATAGAAAATGGAGCCGGCGACGGCATTCCGAGGCGAAGCTCTCTCATGCCCGGGTAATCCGCGCTCGCGCGGATGCAACGAGAGCGAGCCGGTGCAGAAGCGCGCGCTGTTGACGTTTCACTATCCCTCTCGTTGCACTTTCTCCTTGGTGCGCGATAGAGCAAGGCTGATGGATTCAAAAGTTTTTCACCGCGGTGGCGTCGTCTCCTCCGTCGTAATTACAATCGCTGCGCCGCACGCCATGCGTTCGTTAATTGACGAAGTTTTACAAACAACGCCGCGCTCGCTCGCTCGCAACGTAATTTCTTGCCGCTTCTCTCTCTCTCTCTCTTGTTCTTTTCTTTTTTTCTACTCTTTCTTTCCCCCGTGCTCCCCGCGGCGCATCGCAACGGCGCTCTCTTTCATGAGGCACGCACACGCGGTGCTGTGATTGCGCACGAACAAGAGAGAGAGAGGGACCTCGCTCGAGCGAGCGAAACTCGCACGCGTTTTCTGCGGGAGAGTCATTCGGCGGAGTATACACTGCGAACGATTCGATCTCTTCTTCTGATTACAATCCCAATTGATCCGCCCCCGGGTAAGAAAGTGTCCTTGGGAAGTCCGAATTTTCCGCCCGTAATTACAGAAGGATACAGAAAATTGGTGAATCCTCGGCAAGCTACGGCGATCTCCGGAAATCGAGAAGACGGGACTGTCGAGATGTATTCGGTGTTCGGCATTTCTCGTGGGAGAGATCGGTCATCGCGACGACGGTGGGACGGCCACCCCCTTCGCGCTGAAACGATCTATTCGCTGTCACCGATTAAACAAAGGCAATCGTGTGTTCCGCGCGTCCTGCCGAGAGAGGACCCTCGCGCGGAGAGTACAAATATTGTGACGTGATGATGAACCGACACGCCCACCCATCATTCATTTGCGTGTGCACGCGCGCACACGCGGGCCGCGCGTGAAAGCAAGCCGGCTGGCTGGAACCGCCGGCCGGCCGGTCGATAAAATATGTATCGATTTAAAAGCGGTAGTGGGCGGTACGCACGTGTGCGACAACTTTCGGCGCTCCGTAATTTCCCCGTCGCGTCCTGTCACGTCCTGGGCGCGCGCGACCGCCCGAGCATCATCGGACAGCGCTCTTTTTCCGGGCATTATTCACCGCGCCGCTTATACTTGTCCCTGCTTGCTTCCGGATTAAAAATTCATGCGGGCCGAAATTCATCCCCCGATTGCGGCTTGTCCCGGCGGAATGACGAGCGATCGTCCTCGCGGGCGAAGCGGACGGACGATCGATCGGCCGACCTCGTTCGCGTCGGTAAACGACGCCGCCGCGTGTTACAATAGAGCGGGGCGCGTGAGAGACGTTATGAAAATGGCTCATCTGTTATTCAACGGCGGAGCGGCGGCTCTGAATAAGAAAATCCCCGGCGAGACGGCGATGGAGCGCGGATTCCGCGCCGGAGACGGTCGTGGAAGAGTGAAAACATGGCTTTCCTCTTGCTTGATATCGCCTTCGAATTTCTTCGAGCGAAGCCTCCGTCGACGTGCAGTCACTGCGAGCGCGGTGGAATCGAACGAGTGTTGACGGACGTAAAGAGAGACAAGAAAACGTGTGGGTAACAGCGACTCGTGCAGACCGTAGTCGTCAGGCACTTGACAATTTAATGCACTTTTTTGCGAAGCAAACATTGCGTAAGTAATGTAGAAATCATATTTTTCGTGATTATTCGTCACGCGTGTAATCGTCCTTCGCGACGTTACACGCGTGCGGATTGCAACGCGTTAAGGACGTTCCCAACTCACGAGAATACAAGTGCCGTTCCTCTTTTCATCGGACGAGATTCAACCGATGAATAGATAGCGGAAAGAGAGATGCCCGAACATCTGCTTCTCTCTTTCTAGGTCCGTCAACGCGAAAGATCAAAGAAATGTTGCCGCATGCTCCATTCGATACGACACGTCGATGGAAGTTCTACTTGAAAAGTCAAATCACGAGTGACCTTTCGCTCGTGCGGAATGCTCCGCTCTGAGTGGCCGAGTGAATATTTTCATTCGAAGTTCAAGTGTGTTCTCCATCGCTTCGAGGGAGTTTTCACTCGTCCCCGGTGGAATCTCAATCTAAGCAATTTATGGGCCACTTATTGTCCGGCCATTCGTCAGAAACGTCGGGCCTCGCTCGCCGAGGAAGGGATGCGCGAAGTGCATATGCCTCCGTCACAATATGTTGCATTTTAGCGCGCGCGTCACCGCTCGAGAATCCAGTCACAGATGTGTCGGCGAAAAGAGCGGGGCGCAGATACGATCGAGGAAACAAAAGGCGGCCACCAGGTATACACGCGGGTGTGCGCGCGGCCCATCTCCCGTATATAATAAAGTCGTGGCACATATTGCCCGCTTTCTCTCTCTCCTCCTCGTCGCGTCCTCTTCCTCCTTTGTGTTGGCGTATCGAGCCACACACGGAAATTCCACACGCACGCACTCACTCACGCACGCACGCTTGCGCCGTGAACTCCTGCGAGTTTCGATCAGGCAGAT